TGATTTATTGGTAATTATAAACTATGTATAGTGTAAAAAACACATTAGAAATAATATTTTAAAAAGAATATATTGCTAAAATTTCACTTTATTGAGAAAAGCTACATGTAGGGCTCTCCAACTATTTGAGTTCACACTTTAATAACTTAGACTTTGAAGCTAATAAACTAGTCTAAAATTGTAGATAAACAATTGTGCTTTCAGTTTTGTACAGGGGAGTTAGGGATGATATGCACACAATTTTTCTTGAGGAGAGGAGGGAAAAAAAGGATTCAAAGGAAACATATGAGGCGAACAGTTTGCATCTAAACTTGAAAACGCCTTGCAGCATTTGGCTTCAATATTTTCAAATTTTCCAGAACGAATTGAGGTCGAGATTGCAAGCAAACATCCTTGTATGTTAAAGAGAGACGACCAACATTTTACGAGATCAACAGGTACTAAGCCAGGTAGAAAAATTCCTGGAATCCCCTGCAGATTTTTCATTTCAGCTACTCCTCTAGGGACAAAAATGACAGCACTAAGAGAAATAATTAAATAGACTGAGACAACAGCTTTGCTTCCCATCTTCTAGGTTAATCTTTTTTTTTCTTGTCGTTTTTCTTTTGGTTTGTGCATAGAAGCTCGGATGGATTTGGAAATGAGAAGATATTTAGAATATATAGGATGAGTATACAATATGTTATCAGAGAATTTAAAGAGAAACCTATCAGTTTTAAACCTAGTTTCAAAATGAAACTCATGTTTCTATTTAATGTATTATTTGTTACACTTTTTTGCATTAAGTTTCATTGACTAAAATAACAATAGTATTTTTCTTTTTACCTCATCAGAAAGAAGTCTGAAGGTTATTTTGACTCACTGTTTTTATTATTATTATTACTTTTATTAACCTTTGTAAAAGAGTCTCTGCTTAATACAATTCACCTTTGTTATATTACTTTATTTAACTGAGTGTAAAATAGCAGTCACGTTCTACAATTTGTTTTGGAGGACTTAAGGACAAGTAGGTTGTAATATTTAGAATCTGGGTAAGGTTGTAACACTTAATGGTAGTTAAGTCTAGTGTAGTGAACCAAAGCTTTGTATGTAATATTTCACTTAGTGTTTGCATGGTTATTTTAATGAGTAAAAGATAGGACGAGAGACATAAATTAACTGTCATGGCGAAAAGATGACAACCATGTAAGTATGATTAGTTGTTGTTATTCTTATACTTCTCTTTCATATTAATATTATAATGAAAGTAATTATTTAATTAATAAATGTGAGTGTGAGCAAGCTAATTTACTAAACTAGTTTTCTTTCGCTCCACATTGATTCCCCTACCCTGTTTTAACTGAGAAAAAAAGAGTAGAGGTTTATTTAGTATAGGTCTATTATATGATGGAGTTCATCTTACCCAACTTGGAAAATTTTGTACACAAGAACACATAATCAATCAGTTTTTATATATCTTTTGTTCATCATTTCTGTAAACCAAAAAGGCCAATAAAACTAGATTTGTCTCGGCGGTTAAAGGCCTCTCAAATTATAGTTGATAAATTATAGTCACATCATTTAAATTTATGACTATTTTCTATTTATTAGAAGAATAAAAGAATGGTTAACTCAAGTAGTTTGTTGTGTGGTTCCTGAATTTTGAGCACACTCTAATGACACAGAAGAATTTGGTTACATTTAGATGGCTAAAGTAATAAGGAATATGATAATAGTACTAGAAAAAAGAAAGTAATTGTCCCTATATAACAGCTATATGAGTGGAAACTTAATATCATGCTTGTGATTTTTCTTAAAAAAACATTTAGACTGAAGCCACTCTTTGATATCAGTATTGTAATAAAGCTCATATTTTATTTATATGAGTAAGATAAAAATCTAAAAATGTTTTTTCCCTAATGTCTTACTGTATTGCTTTATGGTTAACATATTTTGTTTTTAATATATAAAGGTTTTAGGCCTGAAAGATATTAGCGTGAAGTTAAGTTTTTAAAAATATTTGCATATTTAATTTAACAATATGAGATATCTTTTCTTTCCCTTGCATAAAACGTTGGCAACTGCCTATACAATTTTTTTTTTTAATTTTGACGTCTTAAGGCCTATAGATCATATTTTTGTCAATTTATCTGAAGTAACTTCATTTGGAATTTAATTCTTTTTTAATCGTGTTTTTAATATTAGTAAGTTTTCATATAATAGTTTCACGGTAAGCCGAGTTAAAATAGATAACAAATCAATTTAAAGTGATTTATTTGTAATTATAAACTATGTATAATGTAAAAAACACATTGGAGATAATGTTTTAAAAAGAATATTGCTAATATTTCACTTTATTGAGAAAAGCTACATATAGGGCTCTCCAACTATTTGAGTTCACACTTAAATAACTTAGACTTTGAAGCTAAAAAACTAGTCTAAAATTGTAGATAAACAATTGTGCTTTCAGTTTTGTGCAGGGTAGTTAGGGATGATATGGGAACACTTTTCCTTGACGAGAGGAGGGAAAAAAGGATTCAAAGGAAACATATGAGGCCAACAGTTTGCATCTAAACTTGAAAACGCCTTGCAGCATTCGGCTTCAATATTTTCAAATTTTCCAGAAAGAAATGAGGTCGAGATTGCAAGCACACATCCTTGGATGTTAAAGAGAGACGACCAACATTTTACGAGATCAATAGGTACTAAGCCAGGTGGAAAAATTCCTGGAATCCCCTGCGGATTTTGAATTTCAGCTACTCCTCTAGGGGCTAAAATGACAGCACAAAGATAAATAATTAAGTAGACTGAGACAACAACTTTGCTTCCCATCTTCTAGGTTAATCTTTTATTTTCTTGTCGATTTCCTTTTGGTTTGTGCATAGAAGCTCGGATGGATTTGGACATGAGAATATATTTAGAATATATAGGATGAGTATACAATATGTTATCAGAGAATTTAAAGAGAAAGCTATCAGTTTTAAACCTAGTTTCAAAATGAAACTCATGTTTCTATTTAATGTATTATGTGTTACACTTTTTTCCATTAAGTTTCATTGACTAAAATAACAATAGTATTTTTCTTTTTACCTCATCAGAAAGAAGATCTGAATGTTATTTTGACTCACTGTTTTTATTGTTATTAATATTTATATTAACCTTTGTAACAGAGTCTCAGTTTAATACAATTCACATTTGTTATATTACTTTATTTAACCGCGTGTAAAATAACAGTCACGTTCTACAATTTGTTTCGGAGGACTTAAGGACAAGTAGGTTGTAATATTTAGAATCTGGGTAAGGTTGTAACGCTTAATCGTAGTTAAGCCTATTTTCATGCATGCTCTAATGTACAGAAGAATTTTGAATATAAAATTATGTAGTGAACCAAAGCTTTGTATGTAATATTTCACTTAGTGTTTGCATGGTTATTTTAATGAGTAAAAGATAGGACGAGAGACATAAATTTACTGTCATTGTGAAAAGATGACAACCATGTAAGTATGATTAGTTATTGTTATTCTTATACTGCTCTTTCATATTAATATTATAATGAAAGTAATTATTTAATTAATATATGTGAATGTGTGCAAGCTAATTAACTAAACTAGTTTTATTTCGCTCCAAATTGATTCTCCTACCCTGTTTTAACTGAGAAAAAGGAGTAGAGGTTTAGTTAGTATAGGTATATAATATGATGGAGTTCATCTTACCCAACTTGGAAAATTTTGTACACAAGAACACATAATCAATCAGTTTTGTCTAAAATAATCTATGTTATTTTCATATATACTTCAAAATATATATTTACAGTTTTTATTTATCTTTTGTTAATCATTTGTGTAAGCCAAAAAGGTCAATAAAACTAGATTTATATCGGCGGTTAAAGGCTTCTCAAATTATAGTTGATAAATTATAGTCACGTCATTTAAATTTATGAGTATTTTCTATTTATTAGGAGAATAAAAGAATGGTTAACTCAAGAAGTTGTTGTGTGGTTCCTGAATTTTGATAGAAGTTTTTACAAATTTAATTGACTTAAGATGGATAACAAACCTATTTTAATATATATATATATATAGTGACTAGAGTACTCATACATAATTTTAGCAAGACACATTGGTAAGAATGGTAGTTATTTTCTTATTGAGAAAATCTACATATAAGGGACTCTCCAAAGGTTGTAATGTTTTATAGAAGTTAAGAATATTTTGATGCACACTCTAATGACACAGAAGAATTTGGTTACATTTGGATGGCTAAAGTAATAAGGAATATGATAATAGTATTAGAAAAAAGAAAGTAATTGTCCCTATATAACAGCTATATGAGTGGAAACTTAATATCATGCTTGTGATTTTTCTTAAAAACATTTAGGCTGACGCCACTCTTTGATATCAGTATTGTAATAAAGCTCATATTTTATATGTATGAGTAAGATTAAAATCTAAAAATGTTTTTTCCCTAATGTCTTACTGTATTACTTTATGGTTAACATATTTTTTGTTTTTAATATATAAAGGTTTTAGGCCTGAAAAATATTGGTGTGAAGTTAAGTTTTTTTAAAAATAATAGCAGATTCAATTTAACAATATGAGTTATCTTTTCTTTCCCTTGCATAAAACGTTGGCAACTGCCGATAATTTTTTTTTTTTAATTTCAAAGTCTTAAGGCCTATCGATCATATTTGTGTCAATTTATCTGAAGTCACTTCATGTGAAATTTAATTGTATTTTAATCGTGTTTGTAATATTAGTAAGTTTTCATATAATAGTTTCATGGTAAGCCGAGTTAAGATACATAACAAATCCATTTAAAGTGATTTATTTGTAATTATAAACTATGTATAATGTAAAAAAAAACATTGGAGATAATGTTTTTAAAAAGAATATATTGCTAATATTTCAGTTTATTGAGAAAAGCTACATATTGGGCTCTCCAGCTATTTGAGTTCACACTTTGATAACTTAGACTTTGAAGCTAATAAACTAGTCTAAAATTATAGATAAACAATTTTGCTTTCAGTTTTGTGCAGGGGAGTTAGGGATGATATGCACACAATTTTCCTTGAGGAGAGGAGGGAAAAAAGGATTCAAAGGAAACATATGAGGCCAACAGTTTGCCTCTATACTTGAAAACGCCTTGCAGCATTCGGCTTCAATATTTTCAAATTTTCCAGAAAGAAATGAGTTCGAGATTACAAGCACACATCCTTGGATGTTAAAGAGAGACGACCAACATTTTACGAGATCAACAGGTACTAAGCCAGGTGGAAAACTTCCTGGAATCCCCTGTGGATTTTGCATTTCAGCTACTCCTCTACGGACAAAAATGACAGCACAAAGAGAAAAAATTAAGCAGACTGAGACAACAGATTTGCTTCCCATCTTCTAGGTTAATCTTTTTTTTCTTTTCGTTTTATTTTTTGTTTGTGCGTAGAAGCTCGGATGGATTTGGAAATGAGAAGATATTTAGAATATATAGGATGAGTATACAATATGTTATCAGAGAATTCAAAGAGAAACCTATCAGTTTTAAACCTAGTTTCAAAATGAAACTCATGTTTCTATTTAATGTATAATGTGTTACACTTTTTTGCATTAAGTTTCATTGACTAAAATATCAA